ATATAGGTATATCTATGACCGCCTCAGTTTTTAATTGCGCCGTTGACTACCCCAAATAAAAAAAAACTGTCCTCATACTTTTCAATTCTTTTTTTTTTTTATTGCCTTTGTAGGCAGACGAGCATACGGCCCACCTGATGGTAAGTGGTTACCGTCGCTCATGGACGTCAGCAATGCCAGGGGCAGAGCCAAGCCGCTGCCTACCATAATTCGTCGTGGCCTTAACGATATGGAAGATTGCAAATTTGTTCAACTACTAAACACGATAATATAGAGATGATAAATTAGATAAATTTATTGTAACTCTAGTCAATTTAGACGTATCAGTGAAGTCGCAATAACGTCTTCAGAGTTCTTCGTGCATTACTAACGTAAGAACACTAACATTGAATCAGTATTATTTCCGAACCATGTATGTCTATTGTGTTCCGATTCGGTATCGAAATCTTTTTATTTTATTGACATCAAAACTAGCAAACATACTGCTGAATTGATCAATGGTCAATGTGACTCTTGGACATCGGTAATGCAGAAATAACTGCACTCAAATCAAATCAAATCAAAAAAAAATTATTCAACATAAATGAAAGTACATACTTGTTGAACGTCAAAAGAACTACCTGCTATGACTGCTATTAAGGACTTTTTTTAAAATAATGTTTGAAGGAAGTATTATTATAAGACTAAACGGCTAATGAAACACAAGATCGCCTTTCATTTTGTTTAAAATACAAAAATATTGAGATGTTTTGTGGAGGAAACGATCGGCTGCAAGTAATAAGGATGAACTCTTCCAAATTAATTTCCAACTGATTCTTGTCCACCTGATCTTGTCAGGAAGCGATCGCTCTTACTTTTGTTTTTAATGTATCGCATTGTTTATTTATTTTTTGGTGTACATTATAGAATACTCTCTCTCTCTTTTTCTCTATTCTGCACTGGATGAATGCGGTGATAAATAATAGGCTATTACAAAATCATCGATACTAAATACGATGACATACATATATAGTTCTTATCGTTGTAAAACATTTAAAATTTATCTGTAACTAGCGAACTAAGCTCTGTAGTGACTAAAGTTAACTAACTAAATAAGAAATGCATCTATTTATATACAAATGTATAAAACTACGCGCCATTTTTTTATTCTAAGAAAAGTATTTTTTAAGAAAGAAATGTACTCCTGACTGGATCTTTAAAAAATGTATAATTTCATCATTATCATATATTCTAAGCCCACGAACACAGCCCGCTGAGTTTCTCGCCGAATCTTCTTACCATAGTGGGTCGCCATTCGCAGGTAGTAGATTCTGCGAAGCACTGCTCTTGCTAGGGTTATTGTTACCATATTCTCTCAGATTGAACGCATGAACTCACTTACCTCTCAGCGCGTAGTGGAATAGCCCCTTAGTCTACCAGCGAATAGGTAGGGAACAGAAAATTGTATATTTCTTCATTTTTTGTTACATGCGATTATTTAGAAAATACATTTCAACAACGAGAATCTATATATTAATACGTGAAGCAAAAATGTTGTACCCATTTTTACGTAAATTGCGCGGGCGGACGAGTATGAAATTTCCCACAATTATAGAGAATATAGAGAAGGAGTGCAGAATGTTAACATTTTTTTTAAATTATGCATAAAAACAACATTAAATCAATAAAAAAAACATTACACACACTACCATGTATATGACACACACACGCATGCATACTATTTGTTTATTGTCAAACTTTTCTTATTGCTTATAGTCTGTGGTCAAATTGAGAATAGATTAATAATGTTTGTCTAAAGTGTGTTGGAGTGATCGTCTGGGTTTCTTATAATAAAGACGCAGATTTTCATGGATAGTTTTATTATGACGGAGATACACTTTTTATGTTCGTACTCATTGACGACGCAAGAAGAAAAGGGAGCACACGAACGACGTTGACACATATTAGACGAGTGACAGCTGTCAGTTGGTAATAACATAAAGATGCTTTTAGGAATGATACAATTCTAACAAAGTGTAGTCTTCGCGAAATCTGAAATCTGTAAAAAATTATTGAAGTTTAATAGTCTTTGACAATAGAGCCATAAGAATGTTCCAACTTATAATTTAAATTAATTTTAATCGAATTTTGACTACTGCGGCCCGACTGCGGGACCACTAGTGATTAATTAATGGCCGAACACATAAATGAGCTGTATAATTATCAAGTAACTTATATTTAACATGAAGCTTTCGTTCTTACGCAATAGGCAGCCTTGGAGCTTCTCGAGATGACCTTTACTCCAGACCAGCTAGTGCACTAGATCAATAACAGACAGTACACGTGTGACCTTCCGTGCAGATTTGTCCTTGGCCCGGCTCTTGCAAGACTAAGCCTGTTCAATATGTTTTTATATTATTTTATTTCACAATTCATTTGAATAGATTTGTCGATATGTCCCTTGAATTATCAATTTAATACTGAGGACTTGCAACCTTATATGCATTGATATTCTCTGAACAATAAGTAAACGACGTGTAGGTATTTCTTGTCTTAAAAAAAAGAAATAAATTATGACAGTTTATTCTCGCTTTAGAACAAAAATCGGTTGTCTGTAAAGTCGGTTTACTAACTTCATAAGAAAATACTGATAGAATGGTTTCATTTTTAAAAAGAAAATTTTAATTTTATTTGTTTGATAGATATTTTGTATGGACAATTGACACCACATTCACTATTCACTGAACTTCTTACTTGACGAAAACATGTAAATGTATTATTGTATAGCAGCTGTCCACGCGGATGCATCGCTCACTCAAGTAGGAGAGAGACAGATGTCGAACGCTGCCGAACGCGGAGGCCGATTGTGCCTCTTTGTCGCTCTGCGCGCTCTCGCTTGCACTTCAAGCCTTAAATGGAACGCCTCTATGAGTCATGTTTTTTCGTGCGTGCAGCCGGCTCCATCGAATTATAAGACGTTGTCACGTCAAACATATTTGCCGTAAGCCTATCACGGTAAAAACATAAAAACAATCCTTCACTCATGATGCGTGGAATATGTTAATACTATTACACAACACAGATCAAATTTTAGATCTTCTTAAAATTTAATGTAAACAAAATCATCCCACGCTTTTGTATACCTGAAGGGGAAACATCGCGTTGGTGTTTCTACTCAGTATGACGTCAGCTGGCGCCACCACTTACCCGTCGGCAGGTAACCCATTAAGTTGTCTGGCGCTGCGTGGGCTGCATTATAAGATGTGGAAAATTCCAACGAATGTTCAAGAAGGTTGTCGATCGATTCCTAAACTCAAACTCATTTTAATCTAAATATAATAACTGTTCAGTTTATATAAACGCATTCCACAGCTTGGTACAAATGTTAAAACTTTCACACATAGTGCATAGTTTTATGTAATGCTTTAGTAATGTTTCTAAGTCCATTCTATTATTGTTTAGTTATTGTCACTCCCAGTGCTATCGAAATTTTAGAAAACCATTCACTATAGTCACTGATTTTTTTCTTGCCTCATATGTTCATCCGCATTTGAATGTTTAAAAAAAACTGTTACTATTCCTATAAAAACCATTTTCTCGTAGGAATTGGGAATTACACTGCATACCTCAAACCAGGTACAGTATTCTAGTTGTTCATAGGATTCGGTAACCACTTACCGCCTTAAAAGAAAAGCTTTACTTTGTAATTAATTAACATTCTAATTTCGAAAAAGCATACTAATATTGCTGAAACCAATTAATACTATATAAATAGATTCAGATACCTACTCACTTGAAAAGGAATCATTAGAAGCGGTACGTAAAAGAATATTCGCTGCCCTTAAGATATAATAGTAAGCCGGCATAAGTATCGACGGTTGATTTAGTAAGGCTAGCTATTTACGACTCGTATGTCGTGACCTACCTCCTGCGCTTTCTGTCGGTATTGAGTTGACTTACCACTCACCATCACATAATCTCTTTATTTGATTGTCATGAAGGTGACTAAAGTATTCACCAAATAACGGTTACCAGTCACAAATAAAATGCGACGGCAATCTATACTTTACCGTTCGAAAAGTGGGACAGCCATTATACATGCAATTTAAATGAGACTTCAATATCATATCTCAAAGTGGGTGGTGGTATTCATAGTATACATGTTAATGGCTTGTCGATAATGATAGTCTAGTAGATAATGATAGTTTCCTATAATCACTTTACACCATATGGGCTGTGAGATCAATATACATACATAATGCGTGCTACTACCGGCAGCAAATAGATTTGATAGAATTGAAAAAAAAAATGTCTAAGGGGGCGCACGTGGTATATGGGATTCTAATTAAGAGACTCGTCAAATGTATCCTCTATACTCTCGCCCGTACTCTTGTATCTCCAGTGGCAGCTGCACTTGTATCAGCAGTCGACGCTATAGACAATAAATTTAGCTGTTTCAGAGGCTTCAGAGAGAAGACCACGGTAAGTTGCCATGTTACAAAACAAATTATTGACGAATTGCCCTCTACGCCTGAGAAATTTTAATTTTATCAGTACTATGTTTAACTACCAATGAAATAATTACAATTATAGTTTAATGATTTTTGTATTTTATCAAATTGATCACTAAAGACATTATAATGATAATAATATCACTCTTTATTTGACACCACATGTACAGAGTAAGCATATAACACAAATAATAGATAACATAAGCAAAGGGTGGAAGAGGAATAAGCAAACTACCATGAACGGTGCTATATCTTAATAAGCTTACATAAAAATATATACTTATATACACATGTGAAAAATAAATACAATATGAGATAGACTGACATACGATTAAATACAAATAAATACTAAAAATATGCAACTTATTATGATCACATAATACATTTTTCTATAAATCTGTTATTTAATGGACAGCTTTAGATGAAAATTTTCCAGTGTTCGGCAGGTTCCGACATGCGCCGAACTGCCCCGAGTGTCTTTATTTGCAGTTGCCATTCGTGGTCGTAGCCGTTCCCGCTGTAGCACGCCAGTCGTTTCGTAGCTCTCGTAGACCTCGGTCTACGCACCCCTACAAACAGCTGCTGTTTCATGATTGGTATTCAAATTTAGCAGTTTCATTTTTATGAAGTAGGTAATAATTATTACCAGTATTAAACTTTTTAATGGTTCAATTAAATTAATCGGTGTTAAATTGGTTTAAAATTGTGCTTGGATTGGATACTTCGCAACAGGTAAGACTAAATAAATATTATAAATATTATTATTTTTTGATTTTTTTTGTCCTTTTTTTTATTTTAAGTAGAAATATAGGTTTCATTTTTTATTTATTAGGAACATTGAGTTATTTAATTTATTTAAGCTGCATACTTAAACGATTAAATAATATCTTATTTTTTCATTTAGAAGATTTTTTTAGAGAGATTTAGTTATTTCTTTGCTCATGTTGTGCCCTCTTTTCTGATCTTGGTACAAAATTTGTAGATTATAGTATTTACACAGATTATATAGTGTTATAAGCGCTACAATATGGCTTTAATTAAACGAGAATCGTGGATAATATTTTATACGTAATTAGTAGCAGAATAGCGATGTTCCTAGCATTGCCAGTGTCCGTCCGCTTTCCATCAAGTTGACAACAAGTCCGTCAACTTTGACTCTATACCTTTGGGTCTACATTATTCAGTTAAAAGTAGAGTTTACGTCTCCCTGTTTTTAATTATTCACCGTTACTAGTGGGCATCGTGAATTAATATAGACATGTCTTAGCCCGACGCCAAGGGAAATGTCCTGCTGTATCATCGTGCCGTTAAATAATTGATATTAAATTATACCAATTATTAATTGTAATTAATGAATAGAAATAATAATTAATTGATACATTTTAATTCCGAAAAAAAAGGTAAATATTTAAAGAGATCGTCTTCAAGTATGTTGTACATTTACGTAATAATTTTGCGCACAATGTTCAATTGAAATGGAACAGCAATAGTAATTTTAATTATTTCAATTCGGCTTAATCTTTTCTTAACTGTAGTGAACTGAGAGGAAACGTAACAATATCTACAAGGCGAATACGTGTTTTGTTTACGTATTGAGTGGGATTTTGTTTTTAAACACAAGTATCATTTGTTGAGCATATATTCTTAGATCCTTGGAATGAACATGATCGTTTTATTGTGTCTTATGAAACTTTCGACTTTATTATTGGTTGGAAGGTTTCTGGTTTTTTAACCGACTTCAAAAAAGGAGGAGGAACTCAATTCCACTGCATGTTTTTTTATGATTGTTACCTCATAACTTTTGACTGGGTGTATAGATTTTGATGATTATTTTTTTTAGAAAGCTGACGCTTCCCGTTTAGTCCCATTTCAATTTAGTTGAGTTCTGATAATGGTATTCATGAGAAAACCATATAAGTCTTAAATTTGCATTAAGTACGTACGTGACAAATAGATGAATAACTCAGTAACTCAATATCACGCCAACCGATTTCGATGATTAAGGTTTTTAGTGTATATTAATTTCTTTTGGAATATCTTTTTTTTCGATTTGAAATCGGTTTTTGTTAAAGCATGTCTATTTACAATTATTTATTGATATCATCATCAGACATCAACAACGCTAAAGCCGCTACCTAAAACGAGTCATGAAGGAAACAACTCTAATTCTCAGTTTTATAGTACAACAATAATTCAATCCACGAAAGGACGATGCTCTAAATTATTTATATATACCTTTAACATTTCGCGATCAAGAATATTTTTGTACTTATGCGATTAAATACATTACCAATACTGATATATCTGTAACTCATTAAATTTGAGAATCTTTGTAAAAAAAACCATCAAATAAAAACATCTCCCGGGAATCTCAGCGAATCTCTCAAGCGCACTTACTCTTTTTCCTCGAGATTTTTACCTATCTAAGCGCACTTACTCTTTTTCCTCAAGATTTTTACTGGTGTAGGATCTCTTGTGAGACCGCGCGGGTAGGTACCACCGCCCCGCCTATTTCAGCCGTGAAGCAGTAATGCGTTTCGGTTTGAAGGGTGGGGCAGCCGTTGTAACTATACTGAGACCTTAGAATTTATATCTCAAGATGTGTGGCGCATTTACGTTATAGATAGATGTCTATGGGCTCCAGTAACCACATTGTGTAATAAAAATCAAACCCGCAAAATTATAATTTGCGTAATTACTGGTGGTAAGACCTCTTGTGAGTCCGCACGGGTGGGTACCGCCGCCCTGCCTATTTCTGCCGTGAAGCAGTGATGCGTTTCGGTTTGAAGAGTGGGGCAGCCGTTGTAACTATACTGAGACCTTAGAACTTATATCTCAAGATGTGTGGCGCATTTACGTTGTAGATGTCTATGGGCTCCAGTGACCACTTAACACCAGGTGGGCTGTGAGCTCGTCCACACATGTAAGCAACAAAAAAAAAAAGATTTTATCGAAACAAAGATTATGAGTCTCTAAAATTTTCAGATAAACACATCAGAATTGTGTTCTGCATTGAAAGTACTCCCTATAATTAATTAGCTCGCTTTGAGACCTCGTCTCTCCTCGTGAGGTACAATGTTTTTTTTTTTTGTTTAGAGCGTACTGGTTTGAATGTGTCTGCGATGACGTCATACAAGCCTCTCATCCTAAGGGTCGTGTTAATGAACGCAGTGACGGCTTTTGTGTTTTAATTACATTCAGGCCGGATTAAATTGTACGTCTTATATGAGGCCAGGAAACCTTTTCATTGTTCTGTTTGTTCCGTACGTGGTTGGTTGTATATGAAGATTATTTATCGTTGTTACATTTTTCATTGAGGAATACAATATTTTGTCGTAACGTCACAATCGCTAAAGTTTTTAGCTCAAATCATCGTTCGGTAGAGTCAGTATGAATTTCGTACTGTTATACGGGTTCTGGATATTCCCTTTTTTTTTTAAAACTTTAACCAACAAACGTGTTGTCGCGACGGAGATTGAAAATGGACTGAGGCTAATGGGAATTGTAGTTTACTGCTGGCCACTAGAAACACTGACTGAGCAGGGAAATAGGGATGTGTCAGCAGTAAAGGGTACAGGGCCGTCTTATAACAGTACGCTCTATTTGTTAAATAATTCGTCCTGCTTTACCGTCAAAGATAAAAATAAACTGTAAGCTATTCGATAAACAAACAATATGATATCAGTTAACTTCATTCTCGTTATATATACTAACATTGTTATATATAGTAACTTTGGAACCTAGTAAATTTGCTTAGTGAAAGTAAATTCATTATGCTCAGAATTTTCTCAAGATAGTTTCGATTTTGAACCTTACAAAATCTAATCACGTCTTAACTAACTTGCCTAAAACCTCTGGGGCGTAATTAATAAGTTGGTAAATTTATAATTGAATTCTGATACTTCGAATTATTTCTGAACTTCAGGTATATTTAAATTAAGGATAATTAAAAGAGACTATAACAGTTTTTACGTGGCGGAACAAATAATACGATTTTCAACTTTAAGATTATAAGGAATTAACGTAGCTATTGTACTGCATTATTTTATCGATAAACTTATTATTATAAACTGTTGGTAATAATTATTTTCCTGGTTACTACCAGTTATTTATTTATGTCTGAAAAAAGGCACGGAAGTGGGCGAGTATGACCTGAAAACTTAGAGGCTCAACCCAGTATAGCATCTCAGGATAGAAATTCCTGCCGCTGACAAATTAGGAGCCTTGATCCTAGCTAAACTGCGATTAGGAAAAGCAAAAGGTAGCGGAACGCTTTTTGAGTCTATAGGAGTCGGTAATAGCTACCAGGCAATATTTGTCGTCAAGCAGTAATGCATACAGGGGTGTCTCAGTCGTTATCTATACTAATATTATAAAGCGGAAGAGTTTGTTTGTTTGAACGTGCTAATCTCAGGAACTACTGGTCCGATCTGAAAAAATCTTTCAGTGTTAGATAGCCCATTTATCGAGGAAGGCTATAGGATATATGGCATCACAGTAAGACCAATACAAGTGGAGCACCAATATAGAATGTTTTAAAATAAGGGTTTAAATAGCTTCCTTAACATTCTATAATTCAAAAATATTTTCACTTTCTACGTAAATGAAGTGGAGGGTAAAATTTAGCGTTATGCCAAAGTAACTATTCCACGCGGACGTAGTCGCGGGCAAAAGCTTGTAAAATATATTTGGGACTGACCTCATCTCAAAAAGGGTGGTGTCTATTTGTGATGGTCAAGGCAATATCAATTGGCCGTGATCTCGTCCACCCCTATTGTGCAATTTACATAATATTATAATTGCCATTGTTGTCACATGCATCAGGCCATAAATTAAATAGTTTAAATTTATTTTCAATGTTAGATGTTTGTGATGTGGCAGTACTTATGTAAATAAATAAATAAATAAATAAATTATTCAATCGTTTCTCGAACTTAACTTCGTTACTTTCCAATACATTACTCCTTGGAACTAATTTACCTAAATATACGTTCAATATAACATGAATAAATATGAATTCAGTAAATTCACTTGACATTTTCCCGTGACATCGTGTAAACAAAACGAAATTACATTTCCGATTCCGTAAGCATTAATAAAATCGTATCGCACGTCTCTCTGAGAGTACTAATGATTTAACGAATAAGGAAAACAGAATCACCTTTGACGTGTAATTTTTTTAACGTTATTTACTTCTATTTTCACTAATACGACATTTTCAATAATTTTGATAGCCGAGTTTTATTCTTTTTTTATTGCATAGACGGGTGGGTGAGCTCACAGCCCACCTGGTGTTAAGTGGTAACTGTAACACATAGATATCTACAACGTAAGTGCCGCCACCCACCTTGGGATATGAGTTGTAAGGTCTCAGCATAGTTACAACGGCTGCCCTACTCTTCAAACCGAAACGCATTACTGCTTCACGGCAGAAATAGGCAGGGCGGTAGTACCTACCCGCGCGGACTCACAAGAAGTCCTACCACCTGTAAACCACCAGTATATTATACATACGTGAACTCTTAACGTCACTGCCGATAAACACAATAATATTTATTTTGCTAGATTATATGTCGAATTTTATTATAAGCTTTCGACATTTAAACACACAAGTTAAAATTCGGGAACTAAAATAGGCATAAAATAGGAAATAGCATCAACTCAGATCACGGTGACTTTGAAAAAAGATTCTTAATCCGACCAGAAATCGATTCTGGGAACAGTGCAATATC